TATATTATTTTATGGACATGTCAAACGTGTTTAATAGAGGCTCATGGAAATATTGAACAGCGTTACACAAGACAGAATTACAAAAACAAGAGTGGACTCCACTCTTGTGCGGGGTGGCTGCCGAAGCCCGTACTTTTTGACAGAATGGTGCCAATTCATTCATTCCTGTGTAATCCTTGAACTGAAATTTAACGTGTGCCAACGCGGCCGTTGAAACGGCGACGTCGAACGCTGTTTTGGCTCTGTATCTGAAGGACGGATAACAAGAACACGACAGCGGCCGTTTGGTTGTCATCATAATTTTTGATCGAGTGACTTTCAAGTTGACACGTTGAAAGGAAAGGAAATTTAAAAACGAAAAAAAACGGCTCGAGTGCCAAAATGGCGTCTAAGAGGAATCCATAAAGAATGATAAAGTGATAGGGTATTTTTAATAAAGCATAATTGTTCTTCCGAGAACATCCATGCGTGTTAAGGGTTGATTCATTACAAATAGCCATTGGTCATTTGGTTTTCTTCTTTGGCTTAAGATAATCTAGGCGCGAATAGACCAACTAACAAAATTGTATGGCACTAGGGGCAGTTTCCTAGGGCCATGCAACAACAAAAAAAGTTATGAATCTCAACATTTGTAAAACGTCGTTGCTAGTTAAATCATGCTTATATTTTTAAGTGTAGAAAATATCGTAATTCTATCTAAACATTGGCATCCACATATCATAGGTTATATGTGATTGGCGCTATATCATGTGCAAGATTTATGGTAAATATGTTTGATTTTCAAGCTTTAAGAGCCCGCTATTTATATGAAGCATAGGTAATTAATTACCTTACTCGACCAGTCCAATACACATACAAGCAAAAATTTTCACGAATAAATAGTAATACATGGGAGGAATAGACCTTGGTATCTACCTAAAAGAACCCACGTTTTAATACGGTTTGAAAAAGGTTTTTGTGAAAGTATTTCTGAGAGGCATATAGCCGTGCGAGAAATTAGTCTAATTGCACAATTGGGAGCTATCTGTTCATTCACTATTTACGCTGTTTATCAAGATAATGGGTTAAAAGTAGTGTACGAAACGTTAACTCTGTTACGTACTGGTCATGTTTATCACACGTGGATTGATGTACGATAGAGGTAAGTACATAGCACGTAAAATGTGTTAAAGGGTAATTAGCAAACTATAACACAACCTCTACGGTTATTAGTTAGATAGATTTGTACACAGTGGTCGCGTCACGCTGTCTGCTCCTCTCAACTGTATCTCAACCCTAACGGTTAAGCCAGCATTCCTTGTGATCAAGATGCTTGTGTATTTCGGAAGACCCGTTTACTTGTTTCGTAGCTGGCCGGCTACGAAAGTGTGGCAGCTTTTCTGTGCGTCTGATTAAGTTAATGGGGAACAAGGACGTAGCCTGCTCACTTGCTTCGGCGGAGCCAACCGCTTAGACATTGCATTTGAAAACAGCGCACTCCAATTTAGAGCAATATAGTTTTTCTTGCTCGAGACATTTGTTAGATATTTGTGGGTGCGTAAGGGTGATACCTGAACTAACTGTTTATGTATGTATAAATTTTGTATGTGAAGGAATCGTGACTCAGACGATCACGGTTGGTTTCTGCTCCGGGTTCGTGTTGGCCTTCGCCCACGTCTCAGTTATGTTCAATTGTATTTCGATTTGCAGATTGTCGGCGTCATCTAGTAGATGTGAATCAGACCAGCCATTGGCCGACATCAAATAGGTGCATGTGGATTTTATTATTGGGCAGCGTGCCAGACAGGCATCGCCAGTGCTCGTATATTTCGTAAATAAAGATGGCTTCATCATTCGGACTTGATGAGATAGGAACTTTGTTTATTCAGATGGACTGTGCGAATCGACAGCTTTTGTTCAGCCAACTTCAAAGGTGTCCGTAGGGACGCTTTGTAATAAACTATATTACGTACCCATGCGACGGGATAACTTGGTAGTGCGTTGACAATTGTTACTTTGGCTAATTTTTCAACGCTAATTGTTGGCCGCTCGTCACCGCCGACGTATTGGCCGTATCTCCGTTAGGTTAAGCAATGTCGGAACGTCGTTTTTCGCTATATTTACAAGGAAGACATAAATTTTAGTCATCGAGACATCTTTTCCTTGCAGCGTAGCAAAAGCTGTCGATAACTGACGCCTACCACGAGTCTTTGCATAAAACATGTGCAAACTTTTCGAAAATATTCATGTGGTAGGTAGAAATAGGAACTACGTTTTTGTTCGTTTCGTGAAGAACTTTTGATTGATACCTTGGACACAGCTCATGCTTCCTGTACTTTGCCATTTTGAAGTCGCTTTTTTCAAGATTTCGCTTTCAAATGCACTACTAATTTTGTGTACGTTCTCCGAATTCGTTCAGAAAAATATCCAAAAAAAACTAGAGATAGAAAGCAGATGTTGGCAGCGACAATGCATCAGGATCGAAATGCATTAGTATAACAATGTGCCAGCGTTATTTTTTATCCAAATTAACGAGGTCATCTTTTCTAAGTAGTCTCATTATAACTAGAGATTAACCTCCAGAGTCATTTAAAGCGAAGTAATTTAACTAATCCGTCGAAACATAGCACTGGCGTTTGTGCAGTGTTACTACACATTTGCCATTTTTGTTCTATGATACAGTAGCGAAACGGTTCTGTACTTCAGCTCTTTTCACTTCAAAGTTGTACACTGGGTAAGTAGAACGATAGATAACGAACGTTTAAATAGTTGAAGACTGCAAAATGCGCACACATACGCATATTCGGTCACCGAATTACCAGTAGGGTGTGCCAACATGGAGTTACTGTACCAAAATAATTAGAATTTGTTAGCTTTTTAATGGGTGGTATCTGTTTAATCCCTATTAATGGTGGACTCTATTTAATCAATCGATTCCAGGTGATTTTTCCTACTAGAATGTCAGGTTAAGGCAGCACCCATTATATCATACGAAAACAACTGTCCCAAGAATATGACTTTCCGCCTAGGTGTAATGAAACAGTATTTGAGACACTTATTGTTTTTTTTCATTTTGAAGACGTTAAAAAGCATGCTTACGAAAACAATTTCTAATTACACTATAATCTCTACTATTCAATCACATCCGTGGATGTCAGCAATTGATTTCTTATGGCGCGATGAGACGCGCGACGAGCAACACGGTCTGCGTTTAGTTATCAGGTGGAGCTGATCTTATCGCCAGTGATAGTGTATGGCTGATGGTAATCATCATTAAAATCTGCTGTTCATAACCCGTCTGGCAGAAGCCTCTTGTTTCACACTTCTATGTCAGCTATTGGCGGTGCCTGCTGCTGGAAAGCCTTTCGGTTTAAGAACGTAGCTGTTTATCTTAATACTAGTGGCTGTGGCTTGATTGACGTGGAAACATAGGCTTAGCCACGGGAAGCCAGGCGCTATTTCAGTACTCACGGTGTCTAGTGTTACCCTTGGCGTGGAGAAGACGATTCATTCAATTTCTAAGCAACGGAGAGATCACAGGCGCGAACAAACTGAACTACTACAGATTGCGACATTTTGCTACTTGTTACATTCGTATCCTATGACAGTACTACAAGCTTCAGTGGTAAGCTTTCAGACATATCCGAGCTACTTCATCGTTTTTTCTATTTGTAAGAAGCCCAACTGCCTACTGGTGAAGACGCGCTATCGAGACAGAATAAACCACAAGGCTGAGTTGTATATTTAATTTATTGGCGTTTAATTCTGTGCTATTTAGCAGAAGCCATGGATTTCAGCGGCGGCCCAAGGGTAAGTGGCAAGTGACGAGCGGGTTAAAGTTCATGCTGGGTTCTTAGCCATCAATTTTAGTTAATTTAGTCTAAAATGCTATATACCAGTTGAACAATTAGACTCACTGCTGCAGTAAATTTGGCAATTTAAGAAGTCTGACTACCAAGCTTATCATTGTCATTGCATTGAAATCTGCTCGTACTCAAATCTGTATTAACTGAGATGTACCATATGGACAACTGCTGTGTACTATGAATCTTCGATGATAAGTACCGAAAGGTCTTCGTACAACTTGGGATCTGCATTCCGTACTACGATGCGCCAAAAAGCAGATAGTACAAACGGCAGCCGCACTGATAGTGCATCTTCTTGTTTATTCGGTTGGCTTTCAGCTGCATGTTTCTTCGTTTGAGTAAAATATTCAGAGTACACATTGAAATGTATTCCTTTTATAGATGAAACATGCACTAATGATAGAGATAAATATGTAAGGAAGATGAAATTTACGTCTTATCTTTTTTCTAGTCTAATTGTTAGAAGATTTATGGGAATATAATAAGGGTAATCTTTACCAACGGCAGCAAAAGTTTAAGCGTTTCCTTAGTCTCGAAACGGTTTTCCATCAAACGAAGCTCAAACATAAAAGGTTTATTGTTTAGCAGTTAGTATAATTTACAAGGAGGTTATACGCCGTCAGGAAGCTTTTGAATAATCCCTCGGGAAATCACTTTCGCAAAATGTCTATATATTGATAAGAACAGGCCGGTTCAGCTCGCACCGAGTGATGTCCCGCGCCAGAAAAAAACAGAGTTATCTCATTGGAGAAACGATGCATCAAAGGCTGACCAGGATTCGCACTAGAAACGAGCCAGTTTTCCAGCTGTCTGAATCTAACGAAACACGAAATAATAATGATTTAATCAATTCCAGTGGCCAAGTATTACGTACGGTACAACCACATCTGCCTTATTACTCACTGACCAAATTAATCTGTCCCAAAGATGCATTGCTCATCAAAAAATGAAAAAGTTGGTCCAGTGTTCACTGCAGCAAGTATGATCGAGTGATTTTTCGCTTAATATACTTTTTTTTGTTTTGTTACTATTGTTTTGACGAGTTTTTTTTCTTATATCGAGTGTTTTCCATAGAGAAATGGGCGCTGAATAGCAAAGCTATACGAATTTGTTTCAGGTTGATCTGCATGCTGAGTGTGTGTAATTCGTTCGGTGGAGAAATGATAATTAGGGTTTGTGGTGTTTTCATTTGGCAGGTGTACCGTTTGTCAGCTAGGACGATGTCGGACTGCACGGATGCTGGGGAGGTCAATCCCCACAAGAAATACTATAGGGAACCTATGCACCGAATTTTCGTTAACAGGTTGGTATATTTCAATCATTCAGACCTGTTATATCGATTACTTCATTAATAATTAGAAGCTCTTAGTGTTTTTCTGTCGCACAGTTACGGATACAATATTCAATAAAAACACTTCAATAAACGGTCAAATTAATCGATGCGAGTAAGTAAACTCGATGTTGTTTTTAACTAATAGCCGAAAAAAGTGCCAGTGGTTGTAAAGAATGAATTATTTGTGAAGATTTTATGTTCAGGAAAAACATGGGAGTATCAACAGGCTTGTATTTGGAGCTCCGCGTACTTGTTTCATTAGCTAATATAGAAACAAATATGAGAGAGAAACGTTCAGTATGTGCACGACTTGTCAGGGCACGTTGGCATTTCTGATATTCTTCACTAATATATTGATTTGTCTTTGCTAATAGGTCCCTTCACCTTGACAAAATTAAGTTTTTCGGTTTCGATATGGATTACACTCTCGCACAATATAAAAGTCCAGAGTACGAGGCGGTACAATTCAACATGCTTGTCGATCAACTGCTTAAAATTGGCTACCCGAAAGAACTAAAACAGTTTCAGTTCGATCCTAATTTTGCCATCAGGTAACGTTATTAAACAGTTAAGATTGGTAGAATAGTATAAAACCGTCAAGGAAAGTGTACCAGTTAATATCAATAATAGAATAGATCATCGAAAGGTGGCTTACTATGAGTCCGTTTCCGAAATTGGTTGACAAATGCTGGTTAGTGAATGACCATCATTGTGCATGTGTGGCGGAAGAAGTTCTTCCGACTATTCTTCTACTACTGTTTACGACTAAAGTTTTTTTAGCCCTATGTTTTTAAGACTATTGTTTGAAGGTTAACAATATAAACTGAAGATGCGCCATTTCTCATTAATTTTATTAAACATTAATTTTTTTGTTTTGTAATCAGTTTTCTTCAAATAATTTAAAGGTAGTACGTGATATAGCTATTCACATATAAATTTTGCTCAACGCACGCAGTAATTTCATTGGGCTTCTTCGCGATTCGTCGAAGGGCATCTTCCATCGAAAATTTTGACTGAATGAGAACGACAGAATTATCTCTAGTGGTTTCTTCCAATAGTGCTTTTTGATCATAAATAGCTCGAAACTTTTTGTGCCTTCATAGTGATCAAATTAATACCAATAACCTCAATTGATCTCATTAAGGACTTTTATCATATAATCTGATGCCGGCTTCCAAATGATACTACCGCCAACCTATATTACACACAGGGTCCCGTGCCTTAATTGCGAATTTTTATGCTTCGTTTCTAAAACTGTACGTAAACAAAAACGGATACTGAATGCCCTAGAAGTATCGTTCCTGACGGTCATGTTGTGGGCATAGCTGTTTCAAAATTCAATCGGGGACCGAAAGCACTAATTTTCGAAATATAGGTGTATGAAAAATGCCTCTCTGAGCCATTTTCGATAGATTCTCGAGGCCTATTGATTTAATTCATTAAGGCTGCTTCACGAAGGTCTTTTCAATCAAAGATTTTTCAGAAATCGCATAAAGGCACGCAACAACGTAGACCACCGATATGGGAGGAAGTTCTTTTTTATCCTGATGGAATTTGTCTAGCGCGAAAAGATTAGGTAATAGCTAATTTTCGCTCAAATTCCAAAATCGTTTTTTCGCTACGACGAGCTATTGCTTTGTTCCAGGAAGAACTGGCTTCTATTTGGTAGCTAAAGTAGTAGATAAATATAAGCCCGTTACGACAAACAGCCCGCCATAGTTTGAACGGACCACGTGCAGGTGTTTCATATGACTATGATTATTGCTATTGTTATTAGTATTGTTGAGGAGTAAAACATTTGTATATGAAATAAATAAAGCATTTAACTATAACCCTTGTGTTGGGCTGCATTGAACAGGGGGTTGTGGTTTGATACCATTTATGGTAACCTGCTCAAAGTAGATCCTTATGGGAACATCCTCGTGTGCTGCCATGGATTCAAGTTCCTTAAAACGTCCGAGATCTACGAGTTGTACCCGAATAAATTCATAAAGCTTGAAGAGTCCAGGGTGTTCGTTTTAAACACGATGTTCAATTTGCCTGAAACATACCTGCTCGCCTGCCTTGTCAGCTATTTTACAACGACATCTGGATACACTTCGTACGTATACTACCATTTGCATCCTAAATCTGCAAGAATTCATCTTACACAAATAAACATTTTTAATTGCAATAAGGAAAACAATGATTGTCATGGTATCAAAGTCATGCCGGTCACTTCATACTTCCACAGTAATAGAAGAAAATAGATTCAGTTGGGCGAATTTCTTCTAAATAATTTTACGTGACTATTCTATAGTGCTATAATTAACTATAATAACCTATAACAAAATATCATACTAAATACTAGTATTTAGTGTGATTCAATTGTACCCGCAACATGGGTTACCTTGTTCATCAATTGCATGTTGTACAATATATTGCTATATCTTAAAGATAAATTTGTCTTTTCAGCACGAAAACAGGTGTGAATATGGGTAACCTATTTATGTCGTTCAAGACAATCTTCCGTGATCTTCGTTGTGCAATGGACATGATGCATGACTCAGTAAGTGTTCCTCGTATCGAATACGTACTTTTATTCCGATCATGAAGTAAATTAACCTTCCTCTATCTTGATGATTTAGCAATACTCGAGGAAAGCAGGTATATCGAAATCCGCTTCGGTATCGTGCTGTCTCTGTATCTATGTCCTTTGAATATTTGACTGAGTGAAGCTATTTAGCGACAGTGTTTATGCGATTTATTTAAGATTATTTGTGCACCATTGTGATTAACATTTCGATGAACTCGCGCGCAGGTAAAATCAAGCGATAGACCTTGGTCCTAATATCTACATCTAATAACAACAGGGCTGTCCCGTTATTCTGTTGTCTATCAATATCTGTTACTGACCCACCGTGATAGTAATTACTTCAAGTGGTCCAACTGATTAGATGCGATAACTTACAACACTAGTTAATTATACGGTATTTAGCAATCTGGTAACAATGATGATATTTTGTCAGTTTCAACCGACCCCGAAAGATCCCTGTTGCGAGCGCTGGAAGAGGCCACGATGGGTAATGAAATCGACGATATTCTGTTAAAAATAATTTTTCCGTTTATGATCTGTCCTGTTTTTTCCTTTTTCGTATGACCAAATAGTCGCCCATTGCCATTTAAATGGAGCGCAACCAGTGTATATGCAGAATTCTATCTTCAGACATATGAAAATGTTTTTTTTTTGCCGACGAACCCACTGCCGGCCAAACTGAACCCACGCTTGATCGAACAGCAGTTAAAATAATCGCATGCTCTATCGTGTCAGTCTTGTATATTAGATTTAAATGCACGCACCGTCGATTTTCGCTGCATGGTTCAGTGAGTGATGGTAATTCTGCAGTCAATATTGTCACATTATGATCGTCCGCATGTTACAAAAAAAAGTCATTTCAATAGCTGAAAAGCCAACGTGCATGTTCATCAAAATACCAGTATCTAAAGCTGGTGAAACTTCCGGGCAAAGCTATGGTTCCTGTTATCATAAAAACGGTAACAACGCGAATGGATCCTGTTTTTTTTTCTTCGGATGCGTTGGAAATTTCATGTATGATTCGGTTACATTAGAACATTCTCAAAAACGAGACTGTCGACAATCTCGAGAAATACGTGGAGCGAGATGAACGGCTTCCGCTGCTGCTCGACCGTATGCGGGCTCACGGAAAAACCGTGTTCCTGTTGACGAACTCGGATTTCGCCTATACCGAGCGGATAATGACGTTCTTGTTCGATTTCCCGTCGTGTAAGAAAAACTGGAAGACCTATTTCGATTACATAGTAGTTGACGCGCGGAAGCCGCTATTCTTCGGAGAGGGAACGATTCTTCGACAAGTAAACACAGTAAGCGGCAAACTATTTAATGCTACTATTCTTATTGTCATTTATTGCTAGTAGATAAGGATTGCTCAGTTCCTTATGGGAAAACGGAATACCTAATAGTCAGCACACAGCAAAATGTGAATTTCTTTGTTTGTTAAGAAAAATTAGATTTTCTATAATGTTTATATAATGATCTGTTGCAGAAAGGAAATGCTGCTCTTGGCCCAGCATTACTAGCTGCACAATGCACGTATTTAAAAACCTCTACAGGTGAATTTACGTAACGTAAAATATCTTATAATCTAGTCGAATTGTATTCGTAAATGTCTTTTATATACAGGAAACTGGCGGTTTACGTATTGGAAAACACGTGGGCCCCTTGCAGCCTGGTCAGGTCTATTCAGGAGGCAGCTGCGATGTATTCAATGAATTTTTGGGTGCAAAGGGCAAAGATGTGCTCTACGTTGGAGACCACATCTTCGGAGACATTCTGAAATCAAAAAAGACGCGGGGTATGTGATAGTACAGCTTGTGTAAATTGTCGAAAACAGAAAGTCGAATGGTAGTTCTTTTTGACGGCTTTATGTAAGAAAGATAGAGAGACTTCGGAAGAAGATTTGGAGCAAACATTTATTATGCGCATTCTAAGTGTTCGACGGAATTTATTGCGTATTTACTCACGCTGTTTGTTTCTCATACTTTGCTTAGGATGGCGTACATTTTTACTCATCCCGGAACTGGTAAACGAGCTCAATGTTTCCATGACTGAATGGCCGCTTTTCGAGAAACTGCAGGAGTACGATGTGCAATTGGCAAACGTCTACCGGAACTTAGATTCCAGTTCGACCGAAAACCCTGATATAACATCTATTCAGGATAGAATCAGGGTGAGTCAAAAACGTAATTAATGGTAACTGACTACACGTAAAATTATGATTTATTCTAAGATTCTACATACGCGTCACTACTCTGTCCGGATCTTGTTTCTGCATAACAGCTTTATACGAATTTAAGGTATAAAGGCGTATATTTTCATTGAGTTTTCACGTATATTTCTTTCGTGATACTTCCTTGTGCAGGAAACCTCCCACAATCTCGATATGTGTTACGGTATTTTCGGGTCGCTGTTCCGGTCCGGGTCTCGGCAAACTTTCTTTGCAAATCAAATCTGCCGATTCGCCGATATCTACGGCTACACGTTCCTCAACCTGCTTTACTATCCGTTTACGTATATGTTTCGTTCGCCCGCGATGCTTATGCCTCACGAGTCCACTGTCGACCATGACGATTCGCACAGTGACGTCAGCATACTTCCCTCCAATTACGGGACCAATAATCGAAAGGTAACTATCGTTAGTCAGAAACTCTCCTTCTGTCATCATGATTCTTATATCGTTAGCTACTATATAGTTGTTCTAGCAGTTTCTCGGCTGTTGTTGTTACGTTCATCCCTTCGTTGAAGAGAACATTTACAGTAACAATGCAATCGCGAAATATCAAGTCTAGTACAAAAACATAAACATTCACCTTTTATGTCCGGATCGTTATAATAGCGCTTCTATTGTGGCCGGCTGCACGAATTGTTCTTGTTCGTTTTTTTCAACCTAAACACGTGATAGTACCAGTCCCCTCTTCGGCCAGTGAGGCCGATGCTAAGCATACAAAGACGTGCGCTTGACATGCAGAGTATAAAAACAATCCCTCTTCTATTATCTGAACTTGATGATGTGTTTACGTATATTGCAAATGCTATTTCTGTTTAAAGGCGTTTGGAGATTTGAAAGTTTTCACAAAATTTATTTACTTCAAGGCGTTAATTGGTTGTAAGGGCTTGTTATTTGGTAGTTTTCACGTGTGTCTGACAGTTACGATTAACGTCAAGTACTGGACGAATTCTACACTAATATGTACTCATATACACGTTTCCTAGTTACGAAATGATGCCGGTCGATGGTCAATTGTGCGCACCTGCGTCTTTCTTTCAAAAGCATGCTGTCCGAACGTTGACTGTTATATGAAATTTCATAGTTGAGAATGTATATACTGCTTGTTATATTGGCAAGTTCCTTTTCAGAGACAAAGATATGCACTTGTCTCTGAAAAGGAACATCTTTTGCCCTAAAAAGGTAGAAAGGACAAGTCATACTGGGGACAATTCATATCGCACGTTCAGACCTAAATCCGAACCGGGCCACTGAGTCGCCAAATATGTTTTTGGAAAATCAAATGAGTAAAACAAAGAGGCATAATAACGTGTCATCTTCTTCGATTTTTCCTAAACCGTGTACCGCATGCCTCTCCTAGGTGCCGTGTACATTTTATCTAACTTACGCTATTAAAGTTTCGCACGTGGAACTTACCGGCGTTGTTAGCAGGTCCCCGAAGGCACTAACTAGATTCACTTCGATTTTATCTGATATGAAAAATTGTAAATTTGGTAAAAGATCGTGGCCGACTTCCTAACTGGTCTACGTACACAAGCGGACGGCACGATCCCTTGCTGCCGCTTGTAGCACCGATGCATCCATAGCGCAGAATGCGCTTCTTATAGCTCGAAGTTCGACTTTTCATAGCCACAACCGGAATCACATTATACAACGCACTGAAAAGTGAGCATGTGCGTTACATCAAATAACTACTGCAAACACTGACTTCTCGCGTACTCTTCGATTCCCTAGATTAATTTACGCTTAATGACCCACGACTAGAATTAAGTCTCTTACCCCAGTCTCATCGATGCCCGTCCTAGCTTTAATAGCAAATAATGAACATTTACTAAAAAACAATGGACTATTAGCGTGCATATATATATATCGGAGGCCTTACTAAAAACCTTCGTAACTTTATTTGCTCTCCCTTTCTCTCTTGCTTTGTGTATCACTCCGTGGCTCCGTTTCGTAATTTGCAGGCATCCGTCGTCAACAACAGTGGTTCAAAAGTGCCGGAAACGCCGACGCAGGTTACCCACCACCACGACATGGACGACGACGACGAGGAAAACGGCAGGCAGTGACGCTTTCAACCCCAATACAAATATTCGAACGGCGTGACAGGCTAGTGTCGCGAAGACTCGCTTCGAGTGACGCATCACGACTTGTGGCTTACGTGTCCACTGATCGATGGAAGCACCAAAATACAGTAAAATAAAAAAATAAGCAACATACTATATTGTTGAAACTACTACCTTGTTTCAACAATATAGTGTTTCAATTCCTGCCCGATGTCAAATGTAACGATTGAGCATCAAAAAAACGTACATTCTTTCGTGACGACATATCAGCCGAGCTACCGAAGATTTCTACTACTCTAGGAAGATATTTCAACTTAATCAACAGATGGAGAAAGACAATATTGGTTTCTTTGGAATGTTCATTAATCAGTGTAATCAATTTTTGCGCGAGCAGAGGAAGAAGGAAGCAGCTAAATTAGATGGATGGAAGTGCGACGAGTAAATCCAATGGAAGCTTCGCTGCGTTTGCTTAGCGCTCCAGTCCGTACCGAAGGCACCGACAATAGAAATGTTTGGCGTCGAATTTCGGAAAGGCCAATTCTACGTCACGTCTTCTGTTCGATGGCAGTGGACCGGATGGTCATAGGGAGCTACAATAGGCAGACATGAGAGGACCTATTTGAAAAATGCATAGGTATGCTTTAAAAATGTCAATTTGATAAACTAAAAACGAGAAAGTATTGCACTAGCGAAAGCATTTCCAGGTAATGTCAGCCTAGATCTGCCGAGGCGTAGCGATGCGCCGTCTTTGTGACGAACGTGATTGTTGATTGTCAGCAAACAGCCAGTTGAAACAGCAATAGGTGGAATACACAAACCGACCCAGCTAGAACGGGGTCATCACGTTATCTGATTGGCTCCATGATAAACCGTTCGATACTGTATGTGATCGACCACCGGAACAATTCTGTACAGTTTAATAAGTCGACGTTTTTTAATGGATAAATCAAAACCGCGTTTACTTGTATCAATCAAAGTCGTAGGCAAGAGCATGCGAAAAAGGCCACCATATAGTAACCAATGTTATTGTACTCTAAATAGCCTGCGTGACCTTAAACAATGCTACTGGGACAATTCTGTCGGAAACTGTCCAATACGCGGAAAGAAAAGAAATTCTAAGCTCATACATTATAAATATATAGACATTCTATTAATATATGCTTAGAAAGAGAATTATAACGTGTGCTTGTGCTTATTGATCAGGGTGTGCAGTAAAGGTAATCACATGAATGTGATAGAGCCAGAGAGCAAGATATCAGACGCGGATCTGTGGCGATCTCGAAGAGTGGGCGGGTATGGACTCGTTACACGGATCGGCAGTACGCTTCTTTCACATGTTTAATAATACGATTGTAACTATCGGAAGACAATGTGTTCCTTCGCTATGGTCTGCAGGGTCGTTACGGAAGGCGCCTGATCCATAAGCAATTAACCTGGGAAGCCGAGTCTCTCCGTATTACTCAACCAAACGTAATGTAGCTAGACGTTTCATGCGATAACAGATAACCGTCACGTTCAGTCGAATAGCAGTTGGCCAGCGCTGGCCTATTTCAGGGAAGAAGCGTGTTCGTCGTTTTTGGAGGTAAAATTGTGTTTGGTCTGGGCCTGTAGCTGAACGCTATTTTGCAGGCGATGGTAGTACATTAATGGCGCAATTTAATCGCAAGAGATGTTGTTGTATTTGTCAAATGGAGAGTGAAAGGAGTTTCAGAATAAAGGGAGACTTTCAACGTTTGTTCGATAGCCGTTGTAATTTGCAAGGATTGAAAATGGCTTGGGATTTTGCGAAATTTTGAGAAAACGCTTTCATTGTGCGGAGATGAGTTTATATTACGGATCGGATAATAACGACTGTCATATATATATATACTATATATATATATGTGTATATATCAAGCGAAATAGATTATCTTGTTAAGTGTTGTCACAATTTGTGTACTTTTTCTTACGAGAAACAGTGTTCGTTTTTAATCGACAATGTGTTTTGTGTACTCATTATTTTCGTATCTATTTTGTCTAAATAAATTTTAATCGCTACCCTTTAACTTGTGGTGTTATTGTTGACTGTGTACGACGAATATATACTGGGATAAAATGCCTAGATGTAATGACTGAACAGTCTGATCAGATGGATCATCACGAAGCGTAAGAAACCTATCGTGTTGAAAAAATTAAATATAGTAGATACGTTATTATACACAATATGTTAAAGTAATTATAATACAAGACTAAGAGATTTTAGATGATGAGTTTGGTTAGAACAAAATTATTTTGAAATGGAAAGTCGTGGCAAAATTGCCACGAAAAAGAAAAATTTCATTATATAGCCTTAATGGGTCCACTATAATTAATTTTCGTAATACGTATTTATGTATTTGGCTTATGATGCTCCGCCATGTGATGTCACATAGGCCAATAAATATACATGGACGCTAGTGATTTCGTGCGTTGAGATCAGTCATTTTTGAAAAGAACATGCCTTTCTTCCTAGAAAAAAGGGCGACTGTTCATAAACCTCTACCATAGGCATTAAGCAGGTTAAGGATTACGGTTCATCAACCCTAGGGCCACTACTTGGCTGTGTTTGAGAAGTGTAAGGGAAATGAGTAGCGATATACGTATCGTTCTGTGTAAGGCCAAATTGACCAAGCTAAAGCCTACATAATGACCCTGATTAAGCACGATTCAGGATTAGATAATTAGCTATGGTAAATGAGGATACATTATTGTGGCTATCCGCAGTGTGGTTTATATATCGGTAATATTGTTTTGATGGAACAGTGCCTTACGCTAATGAAATCGGCAAGATTTCTCTCAAAAGCGAGCACATGCGACATTCTGTTTAAGTGACGCCATATGCTACAACGTATGCCAAAGTAATATTTCTTAGTTTAACTTACCATACCTACACATAGATCCGTTTACCGTAGAGCTAACTTGTAACCGAGGGCTATTTCGTTCTATCAGCTTCTCTGCACAACCAGTAGACACGATATCCGATCTCGTGTATGCTTGAAATGGAATGGTCAGTCCCACTTCATCGGGATTCATATAGCGCCCAGTGTGGTCGTCTAGTATATGGCTTCTTGGGACGTAACTTGCTTCTAAGTTGCGATCGAAAATGCAGCTTTGTGACAATGATAACTGATGTCATCTTTGATATAATTACATATGTAATCGATTACTATTACGGATGCGTATACGAAATACATCTACATGGATTCACTGAGGTACAGACAGGCCGCAGCTGAGATAGGCATCAAACTCTGCTTCAGTATATTGAATATTTACCAGTTTTTAAGGCTATCTAGCGTAGAAGATCTTTACGACTAAATACGCCACATACGTCACATAGGTGATAATTTTTCAATAGAAAAAAAACGACTACCCCGTGACAAATTGCTAAGTATTTTTTTAGCATCTGTGCATAATTTCTCCTTTTCAACTTTCAGTTCCTAAATAGACGACTTGCTATATCCTGTTTCAGAGTTCTTTGACATCATCTATTTGACATTACCATGCAGTGAATAGCTTCAACACACGAGAATTTAATTAATGAATAGACGATGTTTTCAAAGTTAGAAGGGGTCTTCCTGTCCAGCCATCGTATGATACAGGGCGAGCCAAAAGTGAGTTTACACAACGTAGATTTACAGATATCTTCGCTAATACAAAAGAAGCAAGTTCAATCAGCCTTCAACTGTAAACCCGTTTGCTTACTAATTGAAGATTTATTTATTTGTCAAGTACGATTATCTATCCTTGAAGCAGAAGTTCATGCTGTACTATTTTGTCTGTAATAGAACAATAGCAAAAAATCACCACATATTTATAACGAAGCTGAGCAAATGCTCCAGTATTAAATAACCACAAACTGCTCATCTTATCCAAACAGCTCCTTTGCAAGCTCTGTTGCTTCCATCATTGCTTGAGTCGGCTCAGCGTTTATCTTCTAAATAAAAATGGTATTATTGAAGTCGGTAATGTGTTTTTTATGCAGAAACTCAGACTTCTGCTCGCCATGACTGATGATCTACAATTTATTTTATATAGCACTTTGCAGCTGAATTACGTTACTGAAATGAATATCGCTTGAAGTGATACGATCTCGGTCATTTTAACCATCGACAGATTGGCTAGAACATTACAGGACCAGAGAGGGACATCAATCAAAATCAAACGTATCATATTATTCAACTGATGACAGACGCTACCAACGGATATCTCAATCAGTGCGAAATGCTATTACTTATCATCAACATAAGTAAAACATCTTGAATATATGTTGCTTAATTATACACATACACAGTCTAGATACATATATATATATAATATTTTTCTTTGCTGTTCGCATGACTGAATTACTATGGCCTATGTGCATTGACGCAGTCATTGTTTTGCTTTGACTGCGATCCGCCTTAATAAAGGCATTGTGATTGAATGTACCGGCAGTTTGAGGCAAGGCTTGCCTAGAGTCGTGCTGAATTTTGTGAGTACTAGAGCGTGTTTGACTTAAAGGATTTGCTATTGTAGCGGTACCTTTTTCGAGTGATTTGTCCTATGTTATTTGTTATTGTATTAGGCAAGCCTTGCGGCACTCAACGACGGACAGATAGTTGTTTATATAGGCACCGTGGTCTTAGAAGCAGCTGGTCATTGTAACAGTAAGACTAATTAATGAGTTAATTTCAAATCGAATTATAATTTCCATTATCTAAATATGCCAAACCCAGAATCACCGAGCCAGAAGATAATTATACTAGTACTTATATTCCACTTGGAATCATTTATTACGTAAGCTGTTATATCAACCATACTGTTATACGATTTTCCGAGAATTTGAGAACCTTGAATATCAATACATCCAAAACAATGATTTCCTTATTATCGTAAGCATCGCTATTTCGGTAACCTATCATACACATGTGATAAAGGTGGCAAAATGAACTTATTTGGGAGTACATTATCCAAGTTCTTTTTCGAAAACGCAGCTTTTGGCTATGGCCCATAGGAGCTCACATGGTTGTAACTCTATAATCTGTTTGAGGACGGTTGATCCCTGCCCTGTACAACAACACTGAGTTACACGCAGTACCGTATAGACACGATATTGCAGATATGACCACTGCATTTG